CTAGTTTTATACTTTGACTGAAGGAATGTTAATCTATGTTTTCCATTGCTGTAACAAGTCATGTCCCCATAAACTCATTGCTCTGTTGGCCACATATGGATTTAACTTTCCTATCTGGCCTTCGAACCACCTTGTAGTTGGTTTCACCTGAGATAAAGTTCCAATCCCTAGAAGTTAAATATTTAGCTACTCTGGGATACCAAGATTATGGTGAAATTATTACATTCACACTTGTGTCAACCAAACCTTCAACTGCAATGCCATTTATTTATATTTTAAGCTTTGGTCTTTTCATCATTTATAGAAATTTGCCAAAAATACTTGTTGTATGGTCTCTCCTTAAAATTTTCTTTTATCTACTGAAGCTTTTCTGTTATCCAGAGCAGTATGGTTTTTAACAACAGACATTAAGTCTTTTAATTGCTCAGAGGATGCATCCCCAATGCTGATAGGAACAGCTGAACCTAATTTGATAATGGAGCTTGTAAGAGGCCCCACAGGGTGCCAGCTGACGGCAAAAGGTTACCTTCACTGTCCCTTGTTGATCTACATTCATTAGCTGTAGATCATTCATTATGCCTTTGCCATACCTTCTCCATCCAGAAAGCTGGGATATTCTGTTTGGATTATCTCTAGAAAAAAAGTTTCTAGGGATGCCTTGCCTACAGTCCCTTTTCAGGTGACCTTATTTACCATAAGGAAAATATCTGATTTTTTTGATTTTTCTTAACGTTTTAGAAATCGCTTATCCTATCTAAGTATCACCATGAGGGTAAGATTCATTATCAGCTGTATATCAGATCCGTTCATCTATCTAGGTGCTGATATTGCCTTGAAAAGTTTAATCACTCTTTTGTATTCTGAATTAGCATTTTCAAAACCAGAGATTAAATTAATATCTGTCTAACTTATGGATCTTATATTATTCTACTATAGCTGAAGTCAATCTTTGCAAAGAAAAATCAATGAAGGCTTCTCTTGGATTTTGTATAGTTTTAGTAAATGACTCAGCCCTCTTTCCTGATTCTTCAAACATGTCCCAAGCATTAAACACCGCCATATGACACAGGGCAAAGGTCTAAAAATCTAAACTGTCTTTGCAGATCAGCAAACTGACCTTCACCAAGAAGCTGGTCTTGGGAAATATCAACACCTCTAGTTTTATTTCATTGTTTTATGACCCTAGCTTCCTGTTCCCACCACGTTTTCCATTGTTACTTCCAATATTGCTGTAGCTAAATCTAAGTCTTGGGGAACAATTCTATTTCAAGTTGCCTATGAATTTAACATCCTCTTCACATAAGGTGAATACATACCATATGAAATGACATCTTCCTTAAATCTCCTCAAATCTAACATTCCGACAGGATTGCAGTTAACTTTTACATAACCGTGGGGCTGCCTATAATCTGGTGAATGTTGTTATATGGTAACTTGGTAAACTAATGTTGGTTTTCTAATAACCTTGGGCCGCTCCTCTTCATTTTTATCATACCATGGGGTAGTAGGTTCTGATCTAAATTCCTCTGTCGGTGTGTGAAGACTTTTCTTCATTTCATTGGTAGGCCTTTCTAAGGCTTGTATCTTATCCATCAATTTTTCATGTTTGGCACCAATATCAAACCACCTTTTAAAGGATAAAATAGGAGTTACCAAACTATTAATAATTATAATCAACATTATGTCAGTCCGCTAAGTCGGTTATTCCTTCATTTGTTTTGTTTTCATTTTCAATCCAACTGTTGTGGAACCGTACAGAGTTTTAGCTCCCTGCACCATAATATTCCCCATTCTTAGAGTGGGAAAGGTTTTTTTTTTTTTTTTTTTACAAAACCTAATTCCCCCTTAAAAATTAGCAGGTGCCTCACCAGATCTATGGACTTCTCAGGTTTTCTACAGCAGCCATGGTAGAACTCTGTCGGGGGCAGCCAGCTACAGCAGCAGTACTCAACTGTGTGTGGTGGGGTGGGGAGCAACGGCGGGAAGGATGATCTAAGTCCACTCATCTCTTCTCTGAGACCTGAGACACGCAGGGCTACTCAGGGTGGGCCAGTGATGAGGGCGGCCCCTGTGTGGTGTCCAAACAGCCAGGCTAACCGCTGTGCTGCACAGGCTGGGCCTCAGGCACCTGCAGCTGTTCACACGCAACCTGGACGGAGGACAAGGAGTGAGGGTTGGAGTGGGGGGACTGAATGACAGAGCCAGTGGTGGCAACTGTGGTTGTGGTCAGGGAGTATTGGTCCTGGGAGTGCTATGGTGGCTCAGTGAAGTGGCGGCTTTAAAAGCTGCAGCAGCAGCTGCCATGTGTTGAATGCCAGATGAAGCCTCTACTTATTTACTTATTGCTCTATTATTAATAAAATCTTTGGAGTCAGATATTGGGGGGGGGGGAACCTGAGAGACCCAAAGAGTGGTGGAGGAACAATCAGTTGATCCTAACTGCCCACATTTGTTAGATCTAAAAGACCACGAATCTCTCAAGCCCCTTCTTATACCTTCCTGTGCCCCTTATCTCGGTCCTCCAAAGTCTCCTTGGCTAATTCTGGTCAGCCAATTGCTGACTCCTCCTCAAGGTGCACTTTATTGTCAGTTTTGGGTGTCGGTGAGAACAAATACCCCACAATGCATATATAAGAGAAACTGAAAATGGATTCAGAAGGAAATGGGGAGAGTTTCATTAAAGTCTGAGAAAACAACTGGGCAGACAAGCTGGAGGTTATTTATTAAAGCTTCCAGGAGAAAGGACCTAGCTAAGAAAGAAAATCAAGAATCTTAAAGGTAGAGACAAAGAAGCAGACAGGTTCAGGCATGGAGATCTAGAAACAGTCCCAAACTCTGGGGGACTTCACAAAGAATGAACGAAGAGTGTCAGGGCAAATGGCCTAGGAATGCTGAACAGTATCTGAAAAGGGAGAAAAAAAGAGAAGAGGAAATGTTATGACTTGGAACTCAGAAAGGGAGGGTCCCAGTGACTACATTTAAGAGAGGCTTCTGAATGTGCATATTTCAATGAAATAGTTGTCTCTCCCATCTTAACATGCCTTCCAAGTATGTGTGTTATTGTCTTAGTTAGGGTTTCTATTGCTGCGATGAAACACCATGACCATAAAGCAAGTCGGGGAAGAAAGGATTTATTCAGCTTACACTTCCACAGCACTGAAGAAAGTCAGGACAGGAACTCAAACAGAGCAGGAATATGGTGGAGGCCGGAGCTGATACAGATAGAGGAAACCTCCTTACTGTCTTGCTTCCCCTGGCTTGCTCAGCCTGCTCTCTTACAGAACCCAGAACCACCAGCCCAGGGGTGGCCCCGCCCACCATAGGCTGGGTCCTCCCCTACTGTTAACTAATTGAGAAAACGCCCTGCAGGTGGATCTCATGGAGGCATTTTCTCAACTGAGACTCCTTCCTCTCTGATGACTCTAGCGTGTGCCAAGTTAACACACAAAATCAGACAAAAGTTGATGATTCTTTAAGTGCCAGGGACATACAGTTTTTTGAGGGGTGGGTGGTTTCCTATCCAGGTAACAAATTGACCCCTTTGGATTAATGTGTGTGTGTGTGTGTGTGTGTGTGTGTGTGTGTGTGTGTGAGAGAGAGGGGGGGGGGAGGAGGTGGTGCGTGCCTGCAGAGTAATGTGTGAATGTCAGAGGACAATCTGGGGCATTGGTCCTTACTCTTTATCCACCTCTTGAGACAGGATCTCCGGATCTCCCACTGTCTTGGAATTTTGCTACCTAGACCAGACTAGCTGGCCCTTGAGCTCCCAGGACCCACATGACTTTACCTCCCATCTTGCCATCACTGGGAAACAATGCGCATCTTATTGCACCCAACTTTTTACATGGGTTCTGAGGATCCACACTCAAGGTGTCTTGTTTGCATGGGAAGTACTTTTTAGCGACTGAGCTATATTGCAGCCCCCATTTAGATGACCTTGGTCTATAGGAGACAACAGTCTTTTGGACAGTTTTTAAAGTCGTGTGTCTATCTAGGGTGTGTGACTCAGCTCTTCGTCTTTTGACAAAAGAAATAATATATTATAAAGGACCTAAGGAAAAAAATACAGCCAGGCAGTGGTGACTCATGCCTTTATAATCCCAGCACTCGAGAAGCAGAGGCAGGTAGATCCTTGCGAGTTTAAGGACAGCCTGGTCTACAAGAGAGTTCCATGACTGGCTCCAAAGCTACAGAAAAACCCTGTCCCAAAAAACAAACAAAAGATTACAAGTCTACGATAGCCATGCTTTCTCAGGAGCCAATAGAGTTTTCTTAAAAGACCTCAGGCAGAGCCTGCATCCCACCTTCCTCCTTCCCATATGCTGTTACAAATGTCAGGAGAGGCAGCTGGAGTGTGATACTGTCTCCTTCCTTAACATTAGCATGTTTCAAGGAGGTAGATAGGATCTGTATTAGTTACCGGACTTGTTACTTTAACAGAAGACCTGACAAGTCACTTAAGGAAGAAAGGGGATGTTTCGGCTCGTAATTAGAGCACAGGATGCTATCATGAGGAACACGAGAAAGCTATTTACACTGGATCCGCAGTCAGTGGATGCTGGTGTTCGACAAGCTCTCTCTTTTATGTGGTCCAGGATACCAATTGATGGAACAGTGCCCAGACAGTTGGGGTGGCACCTTTAACACACCCAAAAGCTTGTCATTTCAATGAGTCTACATTCTGTCAAGTTGACAATCTGTCGTAAGAATCAAAGGGTCAGTTATGATTATGGTTGTGAAGAAGGGGTCCCTCATTCTATGAACTTCAAGCTTTCTGTCTAATTGGCCACTTAACACTGCCTAAGCATACACTCTAGAAATTAAGGGGGATATCATAGACTTTATCAATTTGTGAGATTTCTTCAGAAAATACGATCCAATCTCTTTGTCAAAGAGTAAAGTTTCATTACTAGATTTGTAGCAGAGCATGAAAACTGCTCATTTAGAACTGGAACTTAAACTTTTAACTTTTATCTTCTTTGGATTTTTGTTTCCTCCAGGAGCATTTTGAAGAGTGTCTGAGACTAATCGACCCAGAAAAGCAAAAATGATCCTCAACTCTTCTACTGAGGATGGTATTAAGAGAATCCAAGATGACTGCCCCAAGGCTGGTAGGCACAACTACATATTTGTCATGATTCCAACTCTCTACAGCATCATCTTCGTGGTGGGAATCCTTGGAAACAGCTTGGTGGTGATTGTCATTTACTTTTACATGAAGCTGAAGACTGTGGCCAGTGTTTTCCTTCTGAATCTCGCCCTGGCCGACTTATGCTTTTTGCTGACTTTGCCACTGTGGGCTGTCTATACCGCTATGGAGTACCGCTGGCCCTTCGGCAATCACCTGTGTAAGATCGCATCAGCCAGTGTCAGTTTCAACCTCTACGCCAGCGTGTTCCTGCTCACCTGTCTCAGCATCGACCGCTACCTGGCCATTGTCCACCCGATGAAGTCTCGCCTCCGCCGCACCATGCTGGTGGCCAAAGTCACCTGTATCATCATCTGGATGCTGGCTGGCTTGGCCAGTTTGCCAGCTATTATCCACCGGAATGTGTATTTCATCGAGAACACCAACATCACAGTCTGCGCTTTCCACTATGAGTCTCAGAACTCAACCCTCCCCATAGGGCTGGGCCTGACCAAGAACATTCTGGGCTTCCTGTTCCCTTTTCTGATCATTCTCACCAGCTATACCCTAATCTGGAAAGCCCTAAAGAAGGCTTACGACATTCAGAAGAACAAGCCGAGAAATGACGACATCTTTAGGATAATTATGGCCATCGTGCTCTTCTTTTTCTTCTCCTGGGTTCCCCACCAAATATTCACTTTTCTGGATGTCCTGATCCAGCTGGGCGTCATCCACAACTGTAAAATCTCTGACATCGTGGACACCGCCATGCCTATCACCATTTGCATAGCATATTTTAACAACTGCCTGAACCCCCTGTTTTATGGCTTCCTGGGGAAAAAATTTAAGAAATATTTCCTCCAGCTTCTGAAATACATTCCCCCGAAGGCCAAGTCCCACTCAAGCCTGTCGACAAAAATGAGCACGCTTTCCTATCGCCCTTCGGATAACATGAGCTCATCAGCCAAAAAGCCTGCGTCTTGTTTTGAGGTGGAGTGACAGGTCCAGAGTCTGCTGGTGAAGCTGTGACAGAAGCCAGGGCCGCATCCAGTTAGATGGCACAGCACCAAAGGAACATTCACCCCTGCCTCGGATCTAAGCAGAACATGCATTCAATGGACTGAAGATGTTTTCTAAAAGCTCTGAAAGAAAACTTTGACAAGAAACCAAGCAAAGCAGCTCCTTGCCGCATCTTGCATTAATAGATAATAACTGCCCAAAAGGAAGAGTCGGGAACCGGATGGATTTGTGGGTTTGGAAAACATTTGCTGGCAGAAATGCAATCTCCTCAGTCGCCTCTTGCTATGTTCCTTTTGATTTCCACAAGAAGGTATGTAGAGCTTGTTAAATGTTTAGAAACAAGAGGCAGGAGGTCAAGATTATTTGTTCTGCTCAATGTCCAGAGGGCAAGGAACCTTTTTTGATCCCTTTAGTCATTAGTAATGGCAGCCTACTTGTCCCTGTTACTACACATATTAGGCAAAGATTTGCTGAGCTGTAGTTATCATGTTTCAGAATCCCTTTGTAAAATTCAGGCGGTGTCTTACTAATGTCCAGCGCCCCCAACCAATGCCAGCTAGTGGTGTATTTATGTAGCAGTGTTACCAAAGGCACACATCAAAGTCAAACTGCTTGTAATAACTGTGACTTCCTAGGTTCTTCAGCTTTACTATACATGTAAGAATTGTATACCGTCAGTGGTGAATAGACTACAGGTCATAAAATCTGCCTTGCTTTCTAAAAAAAGTATATATTCTCTACATATATGTACAACTACAGCTCTAAACTGTCATTTGGTGAAAATCTGGCGATGTTATGTTTACCTCAAAATAAAGTAATTTTATGGTAATGTATCTAATCATTATTTAAAATAGAAGCTCGTCTATTTTTACAATGACATGGATGTAAGTACAAGTATATTTTTACTTTGTTTGGTCTGCTTGATGGTTTAATATGGTTAGATAGGTTTTCTAGCCCAGGAAAGATCAGGAAGGAACTAGATTTTTCTGTTGAACAACATGGGACAGATTTCACCATTTTTAAGTTTTTGAAGTTTTTCATACAAAAACAAAAATATTTTCATTTGCTCATAACATTAAATTAATACATTGTTTTACTCATATGATTTTAAATAATCAAATGCCTCTAGTTATCTGCGTGGTGTTGCAGGAAATTTAGAAACTTTAGAAAGTATAAGATACTAGTCATATTTAGTTCTTCAATACAAAAACATGTTCATTTCAGTATTGTAGGTCACATACTTATACTATTTTTGTACTCATCATATATACATACATATGTAAATTATGATGTTGGAGTCATAATGTATAAGCAATTCTATACACAGGGTTGTCCCTCCTCAGTGATGTTGCATAGAAGCTAGTATCCTATTAAATATACTTGCTCAAACATTTTAATACTATTCTAAAATAAACATACCTTATATAATTAGGAAATCACCAAATTTGGAACATTGACCATTCTTCTAAAAAATTTGTTGGTATCAAAAATTGCACTGTGCTGATCATTCAAGTATATGAATCTGATGAACCCCTCTCACTCCAAGAAGCAGTGGAACCAATGATACAGTTGTAAACATTTTTCATATTCCAATGTATGTGGCTAAATATTTTCCAGAAAACATAACACAATTTATCTGCCACCTGCTATGTTTGGCTGTAGCTCATTACAGCCTTAGCATAAAGGAGTTTACTTGCTGTAAGCATCCAGATAGTTTATACAAGGGCAGGGAGCAAACTAGGCCAGAATGCTCCCATGGGACAGCTAGCTCATTTCTTACCCTGGAAACATTCATTGTTCCTACCCCAGGCATGCCGGGGTGTCCATTCTGGTCCAGTAAAATGTGCAAAGGATTGGGCAAGATTTAGAATAGTTGTATGTAATATAATAATTAGAATGGTTGAGAGATGTTATGGGCAAGGAGGTTGTTCAGAGACATTGGTGGACAGAGCAGAACCTCTAACATCAAATCATCTTATTCTTGGAAATAAATGTGGTTACATGTGCTTCATATTAATTTTTCTTGTCTTATTTTAAATTTCATTAATACATTGCTGGCTACTTATTTCAATTTTCATTTGTTTTCAGAAGGATTGTGTAGTAGTTTTGATGAAATATCCCCTATAAGTCTCAGGTATTTGAATTCTTGGTCCCCAGCTAGTGGCTGTCTGGGCAGGAGGTAAGGTGGAGGGGTGGAGGGATTAAGAGGTGTGGCCTTGCTGAAACAAATATGTCACCAGGGGTGGGCTTTGAGTTTCAGAAGACTGGAGCCATTTCAAGTCACTCTCTGCTTCCTATTTATGGATGAAGATGTGAGCTCTCAGCTGCTGCTTAAGAAACCTGCCTGCCTGTCTGCTACCATGCTCCTCAGTAAGATAGTTATGGACTCTGATCCTGTAAGCTTCCAAATCAACCTTTGTCTTGGTTATGGTGTTTTGCCCTTGCCATAGGCTCAAAGCAGTTCTTTATTCATTAACCAATAAAAGCAACACATAGAAAGAAGAACCTCCCACACCATATCATAGCAATAGAAGAGTAACTAATACTGATTTCCCCCCAAATATTAAATTCTACTTCATCTCAAATGAGATACCATGATTTAGTTTTTTCATGAACATATTTAAAGTAAGTTCTCTACTTGCCTTTGGAATATCTTTTAAATATGCAACATACAAAGATAAAGATTCCATAAAGATTCCAGGTGCCCCATGAAATGCAGGAGCTACATATACTGCCTTATTTCTCCATGAACAAATCTATTTTTCAGTTGAAGATTCATTTTTTCATCAATTCAGTAAATGTTTTATGTTTGCCTAGTCTGTGTTGGGGCTAGAGAGTTATGTAACTCCTAGCTTATAGTGCATAATAGGCCTTTCCATAGTTTGTAAGGTAGGCAAGTAAGAGGCAGCTGGATTGACAAGCCATGGTAAAGCTAAGAGTTTTCATGCAATGTATTTTCGGTTTCATAACTATATGCACCACCGCATTTTCCCTAATAGTCCACAACCACCTGAGAATCAAGAAAAGAGAAAGCAGTATCAAGTAGGTCAAAAGAGAAGTAAAAGAAAACGAGCCCAGGGAATTCCAGATATGCATATGACAGATAAGATTCTTGAAAGTGGAGAACAAAGTAAACCGGGAGAAAGGATGAGGTAGAGGCTGGAGACAGGCATATACTGCTTCAGATCGTGGGACAGATGTCATAGGAGGACCACACACAGATGTCTGGGACCCTGAAATTGTATTAGATTTAGGCCTAGACCAACAGGAGGAAGAAGAAGCTAAAATGTCAGGGAGAGACACAAGCTATAAACAATGGTATGGCCACGACACAGTTGTACAGATTTTACATAATTTAGGTTATGTTGTCTAATAGGAAAGCATCCCTTGAATGCAGAAGGCACCAAGGAGATTAGAGAATAAGTGCCAAGGGAATAAGGAAATGATAAGGGTAGTAGGATATTCCAGCCAAGGATCAGAGGGTTAGATTTTCAAAATTTAATTTTTTTAATGAGTCAGGTCCAATATGTGTTCGCTAATGAGAGGTCTAGCCTAGTGGTAGAGTGTTTGGATAGCCGGCATAAGGCCTCTGTCTCTTTCATGATTATAAAATCAGTATCTATAATTGTATCCACTTTTGTATATTTGTGTAATAGAATTCTGTGGGATTACCTGTAGTGCCCTGTCCTATTTGAATGGAAATTTTTCATGTCATCTGAGGACAGGACTACTTTAGAACAAGCCATGTCCCTCCCTAACTCCATTTCTAGGCCACAAAAATGGGTGTTGGTTTAACAGTTTTATAAAGATAAGGTAGAGCAGAACCCACTGAGGCTCATCCTTCTGAAGCCTGAGCATGCACCCAAAGAAGTCATATATATTACTTAGGGAAACATCCATGCTTATAGAATAAATACAACATGCTGTCTAGATAGTTTCCAGTGACCTGAATGTATTAACAGGAGTTGATATACTCATATATGGTATATCTACTTAAATAATATTAATTATGGTAGATGATGGACCCTGCAGAAGTTAAGCCTAAGCAAGGCAGTTGAACCAAGGTTTCCACACATGTGGCATATTTTTCTCATTGACTTCTTCCTGACAAATGCTCAGGTGAGATGTGACAATTATGAAAGTATCTGTTGAAGAAGAACAGCAGTTCAAGCCTGGCTCTTCATCAGTTTCTTGTAGAAGTCTGAGTCTTGCTCAAAATACAGGTATGTTATCTAGGACTAGTTGTGTTTATTTCAAAATCATACTTTGATGCTTTGATCTACAAATTTGAAGGAACTGGAGAGCTCTGGAAATGATATCTTTATCAAGTCTCATTGGCTTTGTGTGACTTGTTGATAAGTTTTTAATCTTTCAAAGTATTTTACAAATTGTCAAATGGAATAGATCGTACATTAGGAAAACAGAAAAAAACGTTTGCATTTGTGAGATGCAACTTTGGACAATGTTTCCCGTTCATGAGAGTAGTGTTAACAGAGATGATGGGAGCTAAGGTCACAGTGGAGTCCTTGATTCTGTATATGTCTGACTCCCACCTGTGGAGGCCCAAAAATGTGGGTCCGTTTCAAAGTGTGGCTACACATTCTAAACTAGAGTGTGGTTACTTGGTCTCTTTGACAAGATGGCCCACACAGGTTGATCCTCTCCATCTTGACCAAAGGTCAGAATATTCAGGCTTACTTCTGCTCCTTCTTTTGAAATAGGAGGATTGACCTTGGGAGTGGCTGTCTTCAGGATACTTGGTCTAGGGTGGGTTCCCTGCCTAAACAACAGAATGCTAATGACTTGGTGTCTCAAAGTGTTGGAGCAAGTAACTGTTTGAGTCCTTTGTATTATGTTAAAGTAGTCTTTTGTCTACTTCCCCTGTTGTATTGGGATATAAAACTGTATGGAAAAGTAAATGCAGGGGATTTTAGTATTCCCTGGAACTCCCTCCCAGTACTATCCTATGCTTGCTGTTTTATTATTTCACTCATATCTTTGTTTTCTTTATTTATTTTTCTACTTCTCATGCCTGTACCCCGGTAAATGGTATCTTTGTCAAAGATGGGTCCCCAACACCACCTGTGTCTTTATGGATGGTAAATGATACAGCCAACATTCATGTTTCTTTTTAAAATTGCATTTTTACTTACTATGTGAATATGTGCAGTTATACATTCTTGGTTTTTTTTTTTTTTTGCCACAGTGCATTGTGGAGGTCAGAGGATAATTTGGAAGAATCAGCTATCTCCTTCAACCATATAGGTGCCTGGGTTTTGAACTCAGGTCCTTGGGCGTGGTAGCAAGCACTCTTTTCCATTGCATTGTATCACCAGTCCCAGATCCAAGGGACCATGACTAAGATCTACAAGTGTGGCTGTGATTGATAAGAGTCCCCCTTTTCCAGTGTCGAGCACATCATCCATCGGGCCATTTAAGACGGGTTCTATCATCAAAGTTCTACAACCCCTTGGTTTATATACAAGTGAAGGTGATGTGGACTAACCTATGTTAGTCACCTCTGTCAGCTTGTGGGATAGTGGGGGCCCAGATATACAAGAGTGTGTGTGTTAAAGGGAAGAACTGCATGGGACTGAGGATATGGCAGTACCTGCTATTATATATTATTGTGGCTAAAACCTGTCTCCTGACATGGCACAGTGGCAAAAGATTGACTATAATAAATCTAATTTGAAGCATAGAATCATAAGGTAGGAAATGAACAACCATGCCACCTGACAGCCCAAACAGATGGTCTTTCATGCTGTTAGGCCTCCCATCCAGGCCCAGTAGCCCTTTAGTCCTCTTGGTCCCATAGGAAGGGCCAACATTCCACCTGGCCCAAGTCCGTAGAAAATATCTTCACCACACTAACTCATCCTGCTTGAAAAATCATATAGTGAGGCTAAACAGTGAATTTCCGTGGTCAGAAAGAGCCAAAATTGATAATTTAGAATGAGCTTGTGTGGCTTTAGCAATATTTAATTATGTCATTCACACACAGGAAATCTTTGGATAGGTAAGTTTCTGTGAGTTGAAAACCCCTCAGATTTACCCTTCATCAGCATGATAAGAGATTTTTATCTATTAGTGTGAGATATAAATTTAAATGCTAAGTGATGTGAACTGTGAGACTATTTAAAGGAGGCTTTACCACAGTGACTTAGTTTCAAGAATCGTCATGTCTGTGAGTCAGTTATTCCCCCGGGCCTAGTTCCTGATTCTTTCCATGTCCATAAAGTGTCTTTAAAATACTAAACAGGATGAACAAAATATAGATTCTGAGTAAACCTGCTTGTGAATTGGGTTAGAGCTCACAGAAATTCTTTTCCAAGAACATTTAAGTTCTGTTGGGTCATATGGGTACATAGAGTTACCAAAGGATAATTTTCCAGAAATAAGCCAATAGGCTTCCAGCCTCTGAGCAGCAGATATAAAAGCAGACTAGCATTAGCCTGCAGAAAGAAACTCTGCCAAGGTTCCTTGGAAAGGAGAGAGATGCCAGACAGATGTGCCCCGACAGATGTGCTGTGCCTTAGCCAGCACTGTGTATGTGACACTAGAAGCCCCAGTGTGGACCTATTCTCGTGGTGGCCTTCTCCCAGATGGACACTACAGGGACATTTCCAAGCAGTGTTGACTTCACCTAAAGCAGTTTGTTATCCTGGGATCAACAGTCAGTTCTCCAGACAAGCAGCTGCTATTCCCCTTCACTTGGATACTAAGTGGACAATGGGAAAAGAGACCTTTCTACTGATGTTATCTGTATAGCTATTCCTTGAACTCCCAAAGACTCCATCTCTTGCATCCCATTAGATTACCCAGTGAGTGTAGACTCTGAATAGAGCTCTCCCCACCCACACCCCGCCAACCTTAAGTAAACTGGTCCATTCTCTTCCCCTGGCTCAGGAGGCATTGGTATGCAATCTCAGTGTTACCCAATCAGAGTAGATTGCTGGATTTGCCAGGAGACGCTACCAACGCAAAATGTTCTCCCCATTGCACAAAATCTAAGGG